ATGGTCCTTCCGTCATACTCTGTTGATATTTAGATGCATGCGCGGCGATTGATACACTTCTTTACGACACTCTACTAGGAATGACGATCAACATCTTGCGTCTTATCGTTCGGAGGGGCGATTTCATAACCCAAGTCTTACAGAATTTGGCCACGTGTCAGCTGTCGTACACGATTTGAAAGCAACAAGAAGCTCACTGATTTGCCGGTATTCAGAGACTGCGTATTCTTCGTTATTTGTGCCATAGTGAAACATGGCTTTGTCCACGCCGACAAGTGGTCCGGCTGAGCTTTTATATTTGGTTCAATATGAAATGATGTTGACTTTAATTTTTTGGATATGGGCTGCCGTAAACTCGGCTGACGACGTTCATCAAGCTGCAATGAGGTGCTCCCAGATGTAATGTCGCAGCCGTCCGTATAATGCGCATAGCTTAAGCTTACCTGCACTGGCAATAGTGTAGGCGGGTGACTCAAAACCTCCTGACACAAAAGCGCAGAGAAAGCTCATAAAAAATCGAACACGAGAGTTTAGAGCTAAGCGTGATATGTATAAAATAGGTAGGCATACCAATCAGAATGTGCTTTGACCTGAATTATTTATATCTAGATATAATTGTGTATGTACTATCTGCTAATTGCCAAGTGCGCGTCCGTCACTCATCGGATCCTTTATTGTTGATTATGATTTAGATCCACGCATCATCAGGCTTTACTGCATGTATTGTTGCAAAATTTTATGCAACACTAATGCGATACTCCAAATTCGCATTAATGGGCTTATTGGCGATGACATATGTCGGGCTCATTCGGTCTCGAGATGATCTTTGATTTTGACAATGCATCGTAGCTACGCATAACGTATCGATTGATCTTCCGTTCGACCTGTCTGTGAGACCACGTGTTACTCAACTTGTTTGATGTTAGGCGTCTAAAAATTAGATACAAGCACGTGTCGGGATGGATCTATTCTCGCGCTCGTTGAATACATACAAATACGATACGTACAAGTGCTACCTGAACTACAAGGCAAACGCCAAGCATCGAACAGCAGCGCACAAAATATCAATAATTTGCTAGGTGGGATATCATCGCTGACAGTGATAAATTGCACGCATCGCTAATCAGAACTCTGTTAGAAATGTTGGGATAACGAGGGGTTAAGGGTTCATGTGTGCGTCAACGATCTCAGAATTGCCGATCATCACAAGTCAGCACACAGTACTTCGCGCGCACATTCTTATCATATTATTGTACGGATGAATGCAATTTATGAATCGTTGCCTCCTTTTTATCAGTAAATGAGTATTGCTCTGCAAAAGCGATTACGGTAGAAACTTTATGGCACACAAACAAAAAAGGTCTGTGAGTACAATTCATTTGTAGCTTGAATATAGTAGCAACAACGTGCTAGCCACTATTCTTGATGGCTTAATGCTTGCTGTCAGAGACCTATTTGATTCGGAAAGTGCTAACAGAAACTTGCTCCACCCAAACATAATTGTCTTAAACTGCGTACAGTGTGCGAATTAAAACATCGGGTGGATCTTGCCGCACATAATGCAGTCTACTTTCTCATATGTATCTGCACATACGTTCCTATTAAATAGCACGTACGATCGTTTACAGTTGACAGAATGATGAAGACAGAGAAGTTGTAATCACAATGCATTTTACCTCATGGATTAAAAAGAAAGGACCCGCAAGTAATGACTTATGGCAGCATAAAATAGTGCATCAGATAAGAAACGGTGGAATTTGTAGATGCAACACTAAAATGCATCTTCAACAAGCTAAATTCATATGACGCCTTGAATTCCTTAATGGATCGAACTCGGTTAGGCTTCGGCACTACAAATGGACTTCGCCATCAATTACTTGTAAAACCCGGGTCCCGTTACAACACATTAACCGTGGTACATACCCGACTCATCGATATACTTCGAGCGGTCGCTATCAATATGTATCCGTTTAGTACTTGGCGATACTCAAAAAGTGTAAATTGTCGTGAATGAAGTGCAAACTATGTGCTACCACTAAATCCATTACGACTGGGGTATCCAAATACCCAGTAGTCCTGTCGAACTAGCAGTTGCCAACTCGATCTGCATTATTGTTCGGAATAATGTGTTTCCGGAGCTGCCGACCCCAAGATAAGACCGTTAGCAGAAGCTGTCCGGTCGTTAGCACATGATTAGACCTACACATTTTACTTTTTGCAGCTTATGATACATTAAAGCAGATCATGGACTGTCGGTCCTCAGGTGTAATCACTTATAAGTAATGCAAACATCTGTATTTCGGCATATCGCGTCTGGTCGAGAATAACTGCGGATCCCTCGAATAAGGCGGTAGTGCTTTGGTGCGGGCGCCCCGTTGTCTTGGCAGGAGATGGCATGTAAGTCCTTAACTTTACTCCTTACATACGCAATTTTACATCGATTAAGTTGTTTCGTGAGCCCTGTTAATGTAAACGCTGTCCAACAGAGCAATTAGGACTGATGCATGTTTATATTCTTGCAGATAAAACCAACCGGGGAGCGCTTTTCAACTTAATCGTTAGTCTTGTTGAATAAATCGCACAGGACTTCTGGCGTCTTCACATCGTACTGTCCTTACAAATTAAGACATGCCTGGTACATTCAAAATGTACGAGGCACATGAGATGCCTGGTGCGACTCCGCAGAGCGACAGGGTACGTAGTTTCATGTCACTCCACGTACCCGCTATTTTGCCAGTTCCTTTTAACATGATGAGAATAGTTTTACTACCACTAGCAGCAGCGTTTGTTGTACGCAATTTATCCGGATACCGTTTGGCGCCACACATTCCATCTTCTTGTCTCTGAAAAGCGGCATACCAAGGATGCCAAGACATTCTACAATGGCGTGATAGAAAAAAATGCGCGAGTAAAGACGAAGAAGAATATAAAATCTGTTGCTAAAATCGCGTCAGACAACTTCTCAGGCGCTTGATGACCAAGAACCTACCTCCATTCTGTGCTTTCATTTTGGTCAAGAATGTCGTGGAAACCTAAAATCAATGTAAAGCGGCGTTATCGGTGTACACAATGTATGAACGAAACATTAACGAAATGCAGAATGAGCAGCGCCACAACTCCGCGATACCGAATAACTTCTGCAATATGTCAGTGAGAATATCAGTACCGGCAACACAGGGTCCATGCTAACCCCTCTACTAAGAATATCCGTCGACCGGAGACGATAAGATGATAGCCGGGCCCACGGTGGGTGAAACGACGTAGAAGCGGACAAAGGCACAGAACGGATGCGCGAAAACAGCGATCGTGAGAGCAGATTGAGGTAGAACACCGGTGTTGGTAGAAGATGGTAGATGTACATCTGATGTGGTGAAGTTAGTGTTTGGGTAAGAATGGATGGATGAGTGCGCTAGGAAAAGGAGTAGGCTCTAGAAATTACCCTTTGGTACGATTAGTTTAGTTCGGTGACCTTAAATAAGCTTTAAGTCCTCGCGTTCCCATTCAGGATAATGCGGTTCGTGGGATAGGATGGAGCTACGCGTTGTGAGTCGTAATATTGACACTAATTTATCGTGGTTTTGCATGACGTAGCATTTTGTTGATATTACTTAGGAATTACAACAAAAGATATAGGCAAAATGTGCGACAGCTGATCACGCTCGTGCATAAACAACAACAACAGAGGTCCGGCCGGCGACGTAGAATCAATTATAGAGGAGTAGACTGTAAAAGGGATTCCTCTGCTGCTAATTAAGGAGAGAAACGATACATGCCATAGCGTCAATCGAGTACGACGGACGTAAAAAGCGTTCTGCGTGTCGCCCAGACACGCAAGAAAAAATGCACAGTCACACGCAGAGGAAGAGGATACCTGACGATCATCTTGGCATTAAATCTGTCACATGCTCACTATACAGCTTCGGGCTCACAATGAACTCCACGTTTGCCACTCAGCATATTGCATATTCGATTGCGCACAGTTTGTCAGAGTTTTGGACGTATCTAAATGAAGCATCCTACATGCAGTGGCTGCGAGAACATTAGGCACACAACTCACAAATTTGTGCGATAAAGCATTCGAGCTTTGCTGTCAAACTCCAAGTACGTCAATCACACAAGAAACTCGCTATGATAACTCAACATCCAGTCTCTTTCTTTGGTATACAGTGACAAAAAGAATCCGTCAACATATGGTCGGAATCTGGCTGCAACCGCTTGCACAAATCGCACGGCTGCATCCCGTACTGCACGATTTGTACGGCATATAGTCTTTCCTGACCTTAACATATATCTTGTGTAAAATAGTATACCAGGTTTTGATGTCTTGTTACCAAAACCTTGAACTCGACTCCAGACTCCGATATTCGCACACATACTATCAAAGAACGAACGCAAGCAATGGATAGTGAGTTTTATTCCGTTCTTGCTCGTTGAAGCATACGGCTATGTACACCGTTTGGAATGCTCAGTATTTCCTGATCAGAATTTGACTCGGAACGCCGGAGGGTGAATAGCCGAAACCGAGAAAAATTTGATCGAAACAAGGCTCCAATTGCTTTACAACTACGCTCACGGCTGCTTCTTCGGGTAGAACGATAAGTGGCACAGGCCAGTCAGTCTTCCAAAAGATATATTTTATTCACTTAATTTATTAGAAATCACAGACCTGATTTGTTAGCACTAGCCTGGTCGTTACACTCTCAGCTTTTCTACGTGTCGGTAATAAAAAGACGACCGCTGTTCTGCCACGTTTATTTTCGGTTATATCCACTGAGCAGACAACAATTCGGAAAGGGGAGTCAGACGACGCTCGTAGCAGAAAGCGACATACCTTTCTCGTCTATCTAAGAATTGGCCAAAAAAAGCCAGACCTCCTGTCATCGTCGACCACCATAGCGTCAAGACGACAGCAGATCCTCACTCCTAAATTAGAACAGCACGCGCCAACTGTCGCCTGAGGATCTCCCACCCGGGTCGCAGATTGAGCTTCGTTGTCCAACATGGTCAAGGTCCTCCCACCTCTCGCTCTTGCGATCGTCTCGTCCATCAACGGTGGCATTCTGTCGAACCCGGTCGCAGGAGTGACGACTAACGTCAGGACGACGGACCCGAACCCGGTCGCAGGAGTGATGGCGAGCGTAACGGCACCGGACCTGGCCTCAGCCACGATCCAGGGATCAGGCGTAGCCCGGGGAACACGGGTCGAAGACGCTGCTGAAGAATCCAGCGACGAAGAAAGGTCTCTACCCAGCATGAAGTCGACCTTTTTTGAAACCATGGGAGGCTGGCTCGTCCGCGGATCAAAGAAGGATGGACCAAGCAACACTGATTTTCCATCGCTTGTCTCGAAGGTGACGCGCTTCGAACAATCTGGTAACAAGCGCTTGCCAAAGAAGAGGCCACACCCTTTGCCGCAGCCCGGGGCACAGCGTTTGCCAAAGTCCGGGGCACAGCGTTTGCCAAGGAACGGGCCGCACCCTTTGCCGCAGCCCGGGGCACAGCATTTGCCAAAGTCCGAGGCACAGCGTTTGCCAAAGAACGGGCCACACCCTTTGCCGCAGCCCGAGGCACAGCATTTGCCAAAGTCCGAGGCACAGCGTTTGCCAAAGAAGGGGCCACACCCTTTGCCGCAGCCCGGGGCACAGCATTTGCCAAAGTCCGAGGCACAGCGTTTGCCAAAGAAGGGGCCACACCCTTTGCCGCAGCCCGGGGCACAGCATTTGACGCAGCCATAAAAGGTCGAATTCGGCCCCACGCGGAGGTCGGTATGGAAGTCTCTACGGTACTCGTGTCAGCCCAGCGACATACAAGAAAGAGGAGATGGTCAAGGTCCACAGCATTCGCGACTACGTTGACGCTCGCATTGAGACGTGAAGGTAGAAAAGGTTTGTACGAAAAAAAGACATCGGAAAGCAGAATATTTGCTGAAGGAAAGTTTTTTCAATGCAATATGATGTCACGCAAGAAGTGCGGTGAGAGTTGCACGAGTATGTCGTCTCGCAGTCAGTCCAGCTCCAATGTAAAATTGATCTTAAATATCGATTTTAACCAGTTTTTATCATTATAGGATTATGCGCTAACAACTTTACATTGCTGTAACGGGACACTGGTAGCTACGCACTGACTTAGCAAGCTCTCACTGGAAATGGTGTGAGCAAGCAACCTGTTAGACAAGGTACAGGGTACGCTAGAGGAAGACACACGACGAAGCGGCTACGCTTAGTTGTAGATATGTATGATGGTATCAATATTTAATAAATCCTGAAATGTGTCTTGTTAGTCTAATCTGATCCATATTAATATAACAGCATGTATCGTTACGTCTACCCACTAAACAATGCGCGCGTCTATCAGCGATTGGTGGATCTATATGATGATGGCCCATATCAACCAATGAGTAGACCATTAAGTCACTGCGACAATATCACTCAATTTCGGTGATATTGAAATGAGAAAACTGTTATTATGTTTACTTTCTCTATTGTCATTAATATTATAACTGATAGGATCGTGTAACATGCTCACCCCGTAACATTTGCGATTTGTGATGGCTATATTGCTACCTAATATTTTCTGGTATTGAAAAAAGGCCTGGTGCTCGAAACCGGTTTGTGTGGGACACTTCTTTGTCTTGCTTTAATATACAGAAGAACTGAACGGGCTTAATGGAAGCTTCGAAGTACTTCTGTCCAAACTGGGCGTGTATAGGTATCAGCGGCCGAGATTAATCAAAATTGCAGTCAGTATACATCTACGAGACGAATGATAATTTTGCACATTTGAAAATAACCTGTCACGCAAATTTGCAATTAGTAGACTGAGAATCTTAAAACAAAGTACAGCATGTCTAACGGAGAGAGTCCAAGTTTGAAGACACCAGTTCGGCATAGAAAGAGAAAAGTGATATACAAGAATACCCGGAAAAGAGTGCACCACAAGATAGAAAAATTAATATATGCACCGTTCCATTAAAATCGAATAAACATGCTACTTAAAAATTTGACATATGCCCTTGACAATCGAAAGACACAAGAATTTATAGAGTGATATAATGACAAAAAAATGCACCTACTAACTACAAAAAAGACTACGAATGTGTGCGATAGAGCCACACAACCAATCATGACTAGAATACCTTTTTTGCGTTCATGAATACATTCTAATCGCCCTGTATTTTCGAAATCAAAATTGAATAATTCATTGGTCGAAGTCATTAGCTAAAAATTATTGTATTGACACTTTGCGTACCTCGACAGATTCGGAATTCAGTCGACGGTGGAGCCAAATTCTTTCCTTTTATTTAATTCTTATGTTCTGACCACATAATACGAACCCCTTGCTTTTGCGGCATTGTACTACCGATAAACCTGGCCGATCTGATCCCTACTGAGCATAATATTTTGCGAAGTTTAATAAAGAGTCGATACACCGATTCCGTTCCTATATAATTGTGTAGGTTCAAGTGGATAATTGGAAACTTTATATGTTGACCTATACTCTCGTCCAAATTCAGAAATCGTGGTCGGGAATATGGGTCACTGGCGTGAACACGACCGTAACACGGCGCTGGTCTGGGATCAAAATCACGCCTTCGTGCAGTTCACAATTGTATGATATTGGGAATGGATCGAAATTAAAAAAAGTGGCTGCGTTCAACAAAAGAGAACCCTGAACGTACTATTAAATCTTCTGATAATCTTCTCGGCATGTACAGTTTCATGGTTTGTACCGCAGAAAAGTATACACGCATCAGCGTCTTAGTAAGTAATGGTTTTCCTTTTCGACCCTCATCTCCTCGCACAATCTCTGCTGTAGTTTACGCATCCCTCTTATTGAAACTCTCTCCAGATCTGAATGTTCACCGAGGACCAAAATGATGACACGAAATGCGTTAACTTTTCCCTCGGATCTGGTCTCTTCTTGCATGATTGTGACACCTTGTCTTATCGACTCCGGCTCTTCAAAGTCGCTGATCTCTTATACCGTAAGCAAAATCCCTGCGTCCACTTCTTCGATGAGCAGGGCTGTGGAAGTTAGGGCTTCCATCTCCGTGTCAGCCTCGAAGGTGCAGTATTTGAAGTCGTACGGGTACATCGAGTCGTGCATAAGTAGCTGACACATTTGTGTTATCATGTCGGTGTTCAGTTGGTCATTAATGACATTTCGTGATATGAGAGTGATTCGAACGGCCCTGCACAAAACCTGTGTGCCGATATCAATTTACAATAGCATCGAATAGAACGTCAAGCGAACAGATTTTATCCACTTCATCGCCGTGGGCTGGTCCAGCGTGTATATACTAATCAGTAATATATGCTCCTCCATACCCAAAGCGTGCTCGAGCTGACGACGCCGGTCTCGACGCTTGAATGAGGCGATGATGCCGGCGTCCACGGTCTGCAGCTTCGCGATCTTGTTCGAAAGAACTCTTCTTTCAAGCTCTTTAACTCCATACAATGAGCAGGATGCGCCGATGCATTGTCAAGAAGGAGAAATGATTTTTCGTTTTGGAGCTTGCATGTCGTTTCCACGATTATGAAGCCACTATCTGGATTGGACACCGATCATCCGCGCCTTGAAGTTGCTGCGAAGGTTGAAGCCACAATAATACCCTGTCTTCTACTTGAAGGAGCGCGGCTTTTTCGCGTAACCAATGGTGAGGAATTTAGGTTGATCCAAGTCTTCAGCAGGTCACATCCGAGCGACCGTCACACATGTCTTACTATATCGATCCTTTCATTGCCGTTGGGCGATGTTCGTATTAAGCGCAAGACAGTAGAACAGTCCCGTTTCGTTCATGTTGGTGGTGTCAGCAATCGGGACGCCTAATAGACATTCCCGGATGGCGTCACGCTGCGCGGGCAACTTCTCCGAGTTTTCAGAGCCGCTCTCATCCCTGATGCTAAGTCGCTTGTATCCGTTACGTTCTGAAAAGCTTGTGTGCACCCATTTTAAAACAACAGCAGCTGATCTTCCTAAGTACCGTCCAACGTTGCAAATTTCTTTGCTCTCGACTTGACCAGATCTCCGATCAGCATCACACTCTTGGCTTGACACTGCGGTACCCAATCCACCAGGGATTCATCTAGTGCAGGAAACACGACCACTAGGGCCCGCTTACTCATGAGATCGAGGTCCATGACGTGCTGGATCTTCTAACAGTCACGCCGAATGCCGGAGATCGTCCCCTGGACTGGCGCTTTGAAGAGACCAACTCGCGCTTCGCCTTATCTACCACATTGCGACTGTGTAAGAGGGGAGTTTGCTCCATGCCACTGGAAGATATTCTCTATCTGCTCATACGTCAGGTAACCGACCTGTTTGGGTCGCGAAGACTTCATAGTGTGAACGGCGAATTATCAGACAGAAAAGTGATTTATTTATTTGTGTATTTTTCTCCTATCGTAAGCGCTTCATCGCGATTTCCGCTCATTTTGCTCTGCCAAAGGTTGGGGCAGCGAATTTCATTCTATATCTCTGATGGTGTCATCACCCCGAAAGTAAGAGAATTCACTGCTGGCAGGTAGAGCCGGTACACCCTATACACCAGGACCGCAGAATTAACTTATATTTTCTATGTGCCGTTCTCGAACCGGTGACATCTCGGATGGTGCTACCACACTAACCCGGTTGAGCAACTCGAGTACACGAAATGAGTGACACACAACACTGATTTAATTTGTGCACACAATTGCTACAAACATTGGCACAAACTAAAACTTAAATGTATGAATCTACCCTCCAATGCATATTTACAACGCATCACCATTACTTTGCTGAGCGGCAAGTTCATTGACGAGTCGCTTGAAATAGAAATCGTGCTAAAATTAGGTGCTGACCACGAATACTGGCTCATTTGTTTTTTGGAGGGATGCTGATGAGTATAGGGTATTCGCAGCTCTACAAATTGATGCTATCGTTATTTATGATACACTTGCGCTCCACGGGCCATATCAAAAAGGCAAATATATATATATATATATAAATACTAAAGTTTATTATTTCGCACTGTAATGAAGACAGCTCACACATGCAGCATGCGACAAGTAAATTACGTGTGATACTCAAATACATACATCAGACGGCAAGTTAATGACGTGTAATGCTCGACCAAATACAGTGTGCGATCAAATATTGACGTTAAATGTTCGATCAAATTTAGTGTGCGAACAAATATTGACGTTAAGTGGTCGATCAAATTTAGTGTGCGACCAAATATTGACATTAAATGCTCGATCGAATTTAGTGTGAGACAAGTCAATAAAACTAAAAGTTCGATTAAAAACACGTGCGACAAATAAATAAACAGGTGACGCAATTTTGTATTTCGCGAGTGATAAGTTTTGCAGATGCTTGCTAAAATGTGAAGTGAGGGGTTTCTTATCACGGCATAGTAAAGTGAGTAATTTGAATGTCATGAAAGGAGCTACCCGAGGTGGTTGGTTCGATATGTTTATCTGAACACGCAAATACATATTGGGATTTTAGATAAAAAATGGCTATCTGCGATGAACGGCGTTACAAAAAGTACTGAGTCGTGATATTGTAATAATGAAGAACAAAGAGACTAAATTAGTTATAAGTGATTTTGAAATGGCAGTGAGAGTACAAATCGATAGGGGTGTAAACATTGCTACGCCAAATACATCAATAACAATTTATCAAAGGTTGGAAAAGAAATACAAACGCTAACATATTAATGCAATTTTATGCTCCTATCATGTATGCTGCATTA